TATGTATATGTATATGTATATGTATATGTATATGTATATGTATATGTATATGTATATATATACATATATATGTATATGTATATATATATGTATATATGTATATATATATATATATATACTTTAAGAAACAGCAGCGCAACAATGCCAGCAGCTGGCCTAATGAAACATGCTGGCATGCCGAAACAAGCAGAACTAAAATGTAGCACAATGGGGAAAAACTAGAGATGATGATGCAAAGTTCAAATCGATAAATCTGATGATAAGGGGAAAACAATAAATATTCTCACCAATGGCAAAAAAATAAAAAAAAATATGGCAACAGTGAGAACAAGATATGAACACTCATACAATACTCTGCCAGTGAGCATCAGCAAGCACCGGTCGTCCAAAGCTTATTTTCCCCTTTGGCCAGGACATGCATTAGCCGAGCAGTTGAACCTAATCGATAGGATCTAATTAGAGGTTCAAGTCATTGACCCTTACATCAAGGTTAACCACAGCCCTACCTTTATGAGTTCAGGCTGCAAATCCTATGCTTTGAGTTCATTCACCTATTACAAGCAAGTCGAATAAATCAAAGACATCTCAATGGGTTTCAGTTCTTTTTATTGAGACAATTGATGTTTCGTTCTGAATTTTAAAGAAGGGATTGCCACCCAATATGGAGCAGAACAAACACAATACAATTCCTTGCCAAACATAATTTTTGCTTCTAGGTTCCACCTCAATCTTCTGTGGGCGGTATCATTCGAAATTAAAAACCTTGATTCTTACCTTAAACTAAATGGATTATTTATTCATCATATCTCATGAAAAAGTAGGGGTTTTTTTTTTTTGAATTGACCAAAGATTATTTCTCTAGGATTCCTACATTACAATTATAACATTCATGCCGAAGATTATCACCATCCTGAGATCAGTCTCAGCATGATTTAAATTATCACCACCCTAATTTTGATACCAGATCCTTGAAATTTCTGCCCTTTCAGCATATTGGATCCTCCTAAGGGAAGCTAATGTTGTATTCAAGTCATCTAAGCAAACTTTGATGTCAAGTAGTTCGTTTTTTAAAGACTAAAAACTTTTGTTGGGATTACACAATAAGTAATCGCTCTGTCTGCATAAGATTGGTCACTTCTTACAGACAAACCAAGCTCTTATACCAAATATAACATAGGACAACCTAAAAGGGTGACAAAGCTTAGGGGACTGGAAGAGAAGTGGAGAAAAAAGAAAGACATAACGAAGGAGGAGATTCAATAAAGCATGCTCAACTCATGGAAGAAATAATTCTAAATAATAAAGGAACAAGTAGATCCAAATCCTTTTGAAAGACAGACTGCACACTCCCTAGAGTTAGCGCTCCAAGCCCTCGCCCGATACCTGACACTTTCCAAGGAAGAATCCTACTCAGTAGATCATCGGGATGGATTTCGTTCTCCGGTTCTTGCAGTCAAAATAGGTGCCTGAATAAATAGAATAGAAGAAGGCTTTCCGCACCTTGTGCTTACCTCTGCACTGACCGGAGCTTGTGCTCGAAACCCAACCTGCAGCTCCAGTCGAAGAAGGCTTTCGACCAGCTTAACTTGATATGAAGTTAATCCACTAGTCTCCAACACTAAGTGGCTCCAATAACATCTCGTTTTCAGCAATGTGGGGTTTGTTAAATTGTGAAGTTGAAGAAAAGCATAAGACAACAGGGATTTTGGAAATTCGAGTAGTAAGATAATTGGGGAAGAGATGAGAGAAAGACGGGAGATAACTTCTTCAACTCACTCTAAGTACTCCGAGCTCACTTCATGGCGATGTAAACTCACACTAACATTCTGATTCATTCATTCACTAAAAAACAGTGATTTCAATAGGCGCTCGGGCGAGGCGAGGCGAGGCCCGAGTGCCTCGCTTCATTTCCAAGCAGCGCGCTTCAAAGAGGCGCCGCCTGGGCGCACGCCCGAGCCCAGGCGCCAGGCGCTTCGGGCGAGCGCCCAGGTTAAATCAGGCAACCGAACCAACGTTTTAGGTCTAGTTCGGTCTCTAGTACTTTTGTTGGTTGGTTCGAACCAACTAAAGCACCGATATTAGCCTCCCAACATCCCTCTCGCGACTTCCCCAATCCTAACCCTGCTCGTGATTTTACCGCCGAGATTTCTTCTCCGCTGTCGTTGTCTCTCTCCGTTGTCGCTGCTCTCCATTGTCGCTGCCACTGTCACTGCTCGCCGCTGCCACAATCACTACTCGTTGTTGCTGTCGCTGCTCATCGTTGTCGCTACTACTGCCGCTACCACTATCGTCACTCCCGCTAACGCTGCTACTGCTACCGCTACCGCTGCTTTCAGTTAGCAGCCTCGGTCTTCCTCTTACTCACTCTTCTCACTTCGATAGTATACTGTTAACAGCAAGGTTCGTCGTACCGTACCGTACCGACGTTTCGACCCGGGCTCAGTACGGTAAGGTACCGGTGTACCGAGCGGTACATCAGGGTGTACCGAGCGATACACCCTGGTGTACCGAACAATTTTACAGTAAAAATACTATAGCACTATAGCGGTACCGAGCGATTCGCGTACCGGTAACCTGTCGGACCAGTACGTACCGCCCGGTACGGGCGGTACACTTCGGTATGGCAGACCTTAAGGTATGCAATACCGTACCGTACCGGTGTTTCGAGGTTGGCTCGGTACGGTACGGCATACCGAGAGGTACACCAGGGCGTACCGAACAGTTTTATATATTTTCTTCTTTACTGCAGCACTGCTACAGTGTAATACTGTAGCACTGTAGCACGTTCCGTCCGGTACCGGGCGGTCCGCGTACCGGTATACCGTCGGACCGGTACGTACCGCCCGTACCGGGCGGTGCCATTCGGTACTGCATACCATGGTTTCTTCTATCTTTGGCTTCATTGGCTTCCATTTTCTTCTTCTTGGACAATCTAGGAAACCGAAGTAGAAAGGCGATGTTGCCATGTGACAACTTATATTTATTACAAAAACTTCCATTAAAATACCAAAATTTTCAAAGAAAAAGAAATAACTAAACCGAAATGAAAACAAACCAATTGAACCCAAATCCGCGTTCATCTTGGGTCGGCCTTCCTGTCTCCCATGCCTAGTGTAGACCAAAGTGTCCTGATTTCAATCACTTTACCTCCATCAAACACATTCCTTAGTGTGTGTAATGAAATGCAAATTACAATATTGGCTCTTGTGAAGCATGTTCTGTTAATTTGAATAACAGATGCAACCTCTCAGTTCTCCAATCCGTCTAAGGTGTATAACAAACCAGATTACAAGAGATGGATACATTAACTAATGTAACATACTTACATGGAGCAGATGCATACAAGTAGTTTAAAAATGTAATTATGTTGGAGCTGAAGGCTACCTGAATTGAAGGGAGGAGGAGACCACCATATCGTGGATCCCTTCCAACCATTTGTACAATCTCTTGATCACTTTCCATTCCCATAGCCTTCATAATCACCATGATAGGAATCTAACACAACAAGAACAAATAAAACAACTACCCACAAATCAAATCAACAAAAATAAAGCGTTGTAAGTTACTACCGGTTTACTGAACTGATTGAGTTGTAGATATATCTTATCCTTGTCCATAAAGAAAACAGTTTTGCTTTTTGTCTCGTGTGTGCTACTAGTAACAGATGCTGTGACCCTGATCAAAATTAGATTGCCATCATTGTACTATCAAATTTACTCGAACAAATATCAAAAAATGATACATGTAAATTTACATATTAAAGATAAGCAGTCATATTGAGAATGCAAAGAAAAACATCCAACACTGCACAATTCAAAATGTAAAGGAACACTATCATCCATATATTATCACAGTAATCCGTTCAGCCACCCAAAATATATACATAGCATATACAACCAAGACGATAACATGTACTTCAGCTTTCTGAAATATTCAAGAACCACCAAGGTGCTTGCCCAAACTGAGGGCAGCTACAGTTTGTTTATTTCACCAGCAGCAATCATTTCGGCAGTTGAACATTAGACAACTATTTTATCACCTAGAAGGCAATTTTCAAGTCATACTCCTTGCAGTTTCTTTTATTTCCAAGTTTCTATAACGCCAATGGTTGTGGTTTCTGCCATCAGAATCAGCAGATACTGCTGTTGCAACTAAAAGCAACAACTGTGAATTCCTACAGATTCATCGTAACTTCTGCTACTGCTGGAATTGTTGAGTTGGCTGAGTGGCCTTGATCATTAGACAACCCCCAAGATGATCAATGGCACCTAACATTTAGCAAACGCAAAAACATTAGTTAAAAGTAAGGAACACAGTTTCAACAAGGAATTCAAAACCATCTGAACCAGTTCACACCGACCAGAATTTGCCGGTCTGAGGATAAACGGAGACACAAGACTGCCTCTTCTCCCACTGTCCGGTTCCCATTATTTTCAAAAAAAGAAAAAACATGTGTTTAGGGCAGAAATCTCTTCTCATGAGCCACCTCTTGCATGCTGAAGAAGGAATCACGTTGAACCACCTCTTGCACGCTGCTGATGGCAGGCCATTACCTGTTAGTTCTCTTCTCCTCCTCCCTCCTCCTCCTCCTCCTCCTCCACCACCTCCTTCTTCTCCTTCCTTCCCCCCTCCACCCTCTCCCAAACCAGAAAACACTACCTTAGTACATGCAAAGGTACCATGTGTCAATATGCTGGCATAGGTCCCATAACCAATATTGAATTCTTTGCTTGTAGAAGAAATTCTACAAGCACATTATGAGGCTGCAATACATATACTTATCTGCATATATATCTTTATTAGATGAACATAACTACCACATACTCATTTCTTTTCAAAAATTCCAAATACCACATCATTTAAATAAATAAACAACTTATATGGTCCCGAACACAAAGTCATACTGATCCCCATATATACTTGTCTCATATCATAATTTTTAAAGTTCCATAACTTGACTCATTATCTAAATTCCTAATAAATAAAACAACTCTGAATATCACCCCTACTCTTTTAAACCAATACCAAAAAGCTTCTCCATTAGTCAAATGAACAATCATTTGATCTGGTACATTATTTCAAACCTCAATGGGATATGATATAATCCTGCACTCTAACCTATTATCATCATCTTCAAAGCTCTCTTTACCTTGTTCACTTTAATTTTACAAATAAATAAATAATCCTAAATTTATAACTATTTCCTATCAATAAAGCTAGGTTCGTTGCAAAAAGTTCATTACAAGGTTTATAGAAATAATGTCTTCGTCTCTCCTCAATATCTATATCAAGGACCGCCATTTCGCCTGAACTAGTTAGAAATGGGCGATGGACGAAATGGACGGTACGTATTGGTTCAATATGCAAATCATCCTTGTTCGATCTACTCTGACTTGTTTAAGCATTTAGAGCTCACGTTTGCGAGCCCTCTTTGCCCAAACATGAGCGTGTCTCTCCTCACGTTGTCACCAGTCGCCACCTGCCGCTCATCGTGTGCTAACGACAAGTTTATTTCCTCCTCTACCACTTCCTCCTTCCTCTGCTCTACTGCCTCTCCTTCGGCTTCCTCCCTCTGCTCCTTCATCCTTTTCCTTTGTTATCTCATCTTCTTCCTTCCTCCTCCTCCTTCGTCTTCCTTCACCATCCCTGTCCTCTTCTCCTTTTTCTTCCTCTCAGAAACATCGGCATTGACAGGCACCAAAACGGATCAACAATGATATAGGTTATATATCATATATAAATACCTCTTAGTGCTCACCATTTATGCACCATGTCACCTAAACCTCTACTCTCCCTATCCCTAGCTTTGGCAATTCAATAAATATGCATTCACAATCCAATAATCCCAATACTCCTAGTGCTTATCAAAAAATGGCCTTTTATAGTGAAAATTCTTTAGACCTCCTCACACCACCACCATCTTTTGCATTGCTTTTGATGTTAGTAGCCATCAAAATCCACATGACAATAGCATCATTCCCATTCATGTTGAGACCCCATATTTGTCATCATACTATAAAAATTTTCACAATTGTTTTTAGATTCCACCATCTAGTACTAGTTAAATAATGTTATATTGATTAGCCAAGCTTTTACAATCTGCAGTTCTGACTCTTTATCTGATGTAGAAGTGCTTAAAATAATCCAGCAAATGTACTTACTACTTAGAAGGCCTTTGTCTAATTTTTTTTTTCAACAAGGCATGCAATCATACCTGGTATGAAACTAGAGTGATATTTGGCCATTCCTTTAAGCAAGAATCATTTATCAAATGTATTTCACATTAGGCATTACTGAAAGAGATTCTCAATATGGAGAGTAACCAGAAAAATGAGAACCGCAATATAAATAGCATCAGTGCAGCAAGGAACAAAACACTACAAGGGGGTGAGCAATTTTCATCAATATCAACCCCACACCATGGATAATTAGGGCTTCCCTTAGCTACTTTCTCTTCATGTATCTTCTACTAAAAGAAAAAATTCACGGAGGACAGGAACAAACAGGCACAATTAAATCATATTACTTAATGATTTTTGCAAATAAAATATCATAACTAAGACGCACCGTCCCTTACTATCAGTGTCAATGATGATACGATTCTTGGAGAGTTGCTCTTGTATCAAAATCACCTGGAATCCACAACGTAATGTCAGTGATTGTAACATGTGGTCATAAAGTTGAAAAAAAAGACAGAAAGAAGTCATACCTCTCAGTTCCAACTAATAAGAAATAACTTTTTTTTTTTACAAAGGATAGGTAAAGCGCCTATCCAACTCATCTCAATACACAAATGAAAGAAAAGAGAAGGGAAAAAGACATAAAAGCAAGGTAGCTACATAGTATTGTAGAAATTCCTTTAAAAAAATCTCTCAAGAACTAGACATTTCTGTACCAAAACGTCAAGGCTAAAACCCCACCAAAGAGTGCTTTTAAAAATCTTCCGGTCAGAATGGTTTCCATGAAAACTTCAGAATTTCAGGTTGTCATAATGTTTTAGCACAAGGGAACTATGGTTCATTCCAGTTGCATCTCCAAAGCATTAGGAACAAGCTTATATATTATGTCTTCAAAAACCAGTTTTAGTAGAACCAAGAATTGCAGAATGAACTGACAAATAACGATATTCATATATGTTAAGGCATGATTCATGTAATAGTACAGCAAAAAAGAGACTGCAACAAAGTTACAAGCAAGAATTGAAATACCGTACTGTACCAGTGTTTCGAACTTGGCTCGGTACGGTACCATGTACCGAGTAGTATGCCAGGGCGTACCGAGCGATACACCTAATTTAGGTGTAAAATCCTCCGAATTAATCAATAGTATCTAATTAGATACTTAATTTAGGTGTACCGAGCAGTACACCTATTCGATACTTAATAGTATCTAATTTCGAATTAAGCAATATTAAACACACTAATCATAACATTAAAGATCTTAATTACTCTCTAATTAAAGAAAGAGAATACATATCTTTTGATTAAAAAGTTCTTCCTCTTAATCTTCCGAAATTAACTTCGATTCAATTCAAAACTCATTGTTTTGTAGAGTTTAGGAGAGCACAAATGTGAGAAAAAACAATTTGAGATAGTTTAAGAGGGTATAAGAATGAAATGGAGTGAAATAAGGGAGAAGAAGGGTTTAAAAATATATGAGAAAGGGCTCCAATAGTCAATTTGACCATTGGAGCACTGTTACCAAGATGTAACGATCGATTTCGATCGTTACCGAGTTGTAACGGTCGATTTCGACCATTACCGAGCTATGCCGGGCGGTAACGGGCGATATAACCCCATATCGTCCGATACGGGCCGCTTTTAAGTGTTCCGCCCGGTAACGGGCGATCCACGTACCGGTAACCTGTCGGACCGGTATGTACCGCCCATACCGGGCAGTATCATTTGAAACTGTATACCCCGGTTACAAGTGCCAGCAAGCTAATAAGGTCCTGCTAATAGTGAAGGCTTAGTATATAGTTAAGACCATGGTTTGACATACCGTTTGAAATGGTATGATACGGGCTATACATACCGGTCAGACAGCCAACCAAAACACGGACCACCCAATACCATGCGGTATATACAAATAACGATCGTAACGAGCAATACAACCTGCGTATCGAGCGTAACAATCAAAATTTGACCGTTATCGACCTGTACCAATAGATAACAATCAAATTTCGATTGAAATCATTCAATGGCCGAGATTCATTTGGTTCCAACGGCCAATTTGACTGTTGGACCCATTTGAAACCCTATTCAAACCCATTCCTCCCCCTCTTTCACTCTGTTTCACTCTCACATCTTCTAACACTCCTTCTCACTCAATCACTCTCTCTTTCTCACACATTATGACTCTTGTTCTCAATTAAAGCTGATATTTGATGATTAGAGGTTCATTTGGGAGGTTCAAGGCATTCTAACAAGTCATTTAGAGGAGGATTACTCTAATTAAAAGGTGTATATTCTTTTACTACCTCTTAGTTATTTTATGACATGATTAGCTTCATTCCATCAAGTTACTGATGATTAGGGCCACTCACATGTTTTTAGTGCCAAACTGCGGTAAATTAGGTATCATCACAGCTTATTAATTATGTGATTAGTGGATTTAATGATTATTACATCTATATTAGATCTGTGTTAGCACCATTCTGTCTAGTTAATAATAATTATGGTCAATACTTGCCCACCCATACATGCCGCAATTATACTTGCCTCAAGAGTCTCGGACACATGTTACATAGGATAATCAAGTCACCACATTGATGCACCAATGGCACACAGTTTATTACTACATTATATCATGAGAGCAATTTCTAGATTGGGTTCAACAAATGTATCATATTGATATACGAATACATAGGATTGGGAACCCTGATCCGCCGACTATAAAGTCTCGTCATTCATTTTGGTGTTAGAAGCAAGTATATCCAACAACTGATCCATTATTACTCGATTTGTTTAAATCTTAAAGTTTCGAGACATAATCTAATATTTCAAGTGGTACCTTTGTAGATGATCCAATATCAATGGAAGAACCACTCGGAACGTACCACAAAGTTGCTCCTCAACGTCCGAAAAATATAAATCTGCTATCCCTTCCTTATGTGGATATTTTTTATTTAAATTAAACTAAATTTGCATTTAGTTCAGATTATAAGACCCTGACTTAGGTTTTGACAAAATGTTAGGTATTTTGGGGGACTTTTCGACCACTTTTTGGATCTGTCAACACATCCCTGCATAACGACACATGGTCCGCCAGTACAGACCAGTAAATACCAATCCGACCAAAGACCGACACAACCAGCCATCACGAAATTGCAATCCTTCATTAAGACTATGATCCCAAACTACCAACTAAAAGAGAGAACTAAACTAAAAAAACTATTACTAATTATTAACGCAACAAAAAAAAGATAACTAAAATCATATACCCCAAGTGCTTCCATGATCTCATATGTAAGAGGGTTTTAATAAGGGAGTTTTTTTTCCCGAACTCTTGTTGCTCCACAAAATCCCACTAAAAGGGACCCAAATCAAGATTTTAGTTCTTTATCTCAATTGAAATAATCCTGCATTTGCAACACACTAGCACCACTTTCCCTCACCATTGTAGCATGAACATTGATGTTCTATGGCTTGTAAAAACCAAGGTTCGCAATACCGTACTGTACCGGTATTTCGACCTAGGCTCGGTACCGGTACGGTACGGTATACCGAGCGGTACACCCAGGTGTACCGAGTGGTACACTCAGGTGTGCCGAGTACTGTAGCATTGCTACAGTGCACTCGGAATGGTAACAGACGGTCCGCGTACCGACAACCTATCGGACCGGTACGTACCGCCCGTACAAGGTGGTACAATTCGGTACGGCAGACCCTGGTAAAAACAACATTTATCCATAGGATTATACGGGAGGCAGAAGTTAAGAACTAGACACTGAAGGAAACGATCAAAATAGAAGACAACACAGGCTAAATGATAGAAGACACGATTGAGGAATGATAAAAGAAAAATCATCAGGCCAACCAGCGTCATATCAGATATGACATTGTCATTCATAAAAATTCAATTACATCACTCTAATATTACTTGTTCTCTCATAGAATATGTATAATAAAAAAAACTCAAACTTTAAAAGATATCACAAGCCAACACTCTTATCCATCAATCCAACCACAGTTAATTAGGTATGGGATTTCCATAAAAATTGGCTACCATGCAGGGTTGTTTGGCCAAGAAACAAATCAGAAGGGAAAACCGAACCACCATGTAGCTAAAGAGAGACAAATGGCCAAAAGCATGCAGTGGGTACATGTATGCAGCAGCCAAAAATGACAAGTAAAACTAAGAAAAAGCAAGAAATAAAGGAAAAGAAGAGAAGGAACATTGCTTAATCCTAAATCCCAATCATGCATAGCTCAGATCAAAAAGAAAAGGAAAGGATAGCAATTCTAGCTTAACCAAAACAAAACCATACTTATTCAATTGACCTTAGATCCTTAATTAGGAGCAATGATAATTTAATAATATGACCACTAAATTACCTTCTCGGTTCCTTTAACAACAAAGTAGCCACCAGGATCAAGAGGACACTCTCCTGAAAACAAACCAAGTTGAAAGAGCAACCCAATTAGAAGAACTAACATAAAGCTATCATTCAAGGCAAAATGCAAAATATGTGACAAACCAAGTTTAGAAAGTTCAGCTTCATCCTTCCCACTTAAAGCACAACGGCAACTCCGAAGCATAATTGGCATTCTTCCAATCACCAAACCTCTCTGATACACAAAAAAAAAAAAGATAACAAATTTCAGAAGAGTAATATGCAATTACTGATGTGAACAAAATTCCAAAGAAATAATTTGCAACTACAAATGTCGTCAGACTCAAATACCTTGACTTCAGGAGTCTTATTTGGTTGATTTCCTTTTGTGTACTCAATATCAACTTTTATCGGTGCAGCATATCTGCAAGACACGAGATGAGAACAGCACAGAATAAGAAAACCATTCAAAGAGATGAGCAACATTAATCAATTCATTAGCATTAGATTTGTCGCCAAGTAGCCACATGTAGACCAGCATCAAACAAAAGTCCTATGTTTAACCAGTTATGCAGTATTATAGTACAAGAGAAATCAATGTAATGAAGGAAAAAAACATCAAAAACATAGGCTATCTAAACCTCGAACCAATTAAACCCTGTTCCCTTGAAGCTAAACGAATAAATCTGGATAAACTCAAAGTACGAAAGAGTATCCCGCCCAAGAAGGTACCAATTAAACAGAAGAACCACTCTAAAAGACACCGAATTCTAGGTTACTTTCTTGTCCAACAGAGGCATGATAATCATCTTAGGAATGCCTGCAGGGTAACTAATTATCTTCAATTCTAACCTTATATAATGAATATTTTTAAAAAAATTCAGGGCCTCTACATTCATGCTATGAAAGACTTCAAGAATACAAACTTGATAATTAGTTATGCATATATGGACAAATAAAAACTTTCCAGCAAAAAAACCTGGGGTGTTATCACTTTAAGACAACCGCAGGGCATCAATTGCCTTGCAAAATAAGCATCAAGTAACACAACTTACCAAAACAAAAGGTTCTAGCTGTTTCAATTTTAGCACGAGTAAAGCAAATGTTGCCCATTGTTGAGAGTTGAGTTTTCTTGCACAAGCAAAAATACAAATTGATCGACAGTAGGCACAAGTGCTAGCAATTTAGAAACAAGAGACACATAGAGATAATACAGATTAATTGTCTCAACGAAAAGCATAGTTTTCCTGAGAACGGAAGAAAAAAATGCATAATACGGAGAGCATGTAAAGCTACAATCCATCACATTCCAATGCAACGACCCGTACTTGGCATAAGAACTGATGGGCAAGATATTGATCATGCTGATACTTCAAAGTTCAATTAATTTCTAATAAATGTTAACCAACGATGTACTGGGCATAATTCATCTCTACTAACTTTCAACCAGCTTCCCTCTCCCAATCTGAATAGACAACTCCCCATAATTTTGCATGCAAGAAGATGCCTTTGTTGGGGGTGGGAAAATAATTATAAAAAAAACCTAACTCCTGCTCTAATCTTAACCCCTCATCAGCCACATATATTTGAATTTACCTCAATTGTCTAACTTGACATTAGTTTATTATTACTGCTTCTCTAAGAATATAAGTAAACAAATTGGCCATTTTACCTATGACAGAATGAATCGCGTAAAAATTGAAGCAGAAAAAAAGGATGTATGATAATTTATCCCTCCAAACCATTTATGAATACAAATATGCAACCCAATCATCATAGCTATGCATAACAATTAGGTAAGTTGATGAGATTTAGATGTCACCGGAACCTTTATTTAGGCCTTTGACCATCATAGGAAACAGACAATCACAATGAACTTTTATAGCCTTTAACTATCATATGAATAGGATAATGAACACTATAAACAAAATATTGTTTTCAGATATCAGCAAGAGAGTGTTTCTGTCCACGGACATCAACAAGAGAGGAAGACTGTTCTCCGACCAAAAGGGAATGCCAAATAAAAATGTGACTAGAACAGGCCTTCTGAAAAATGCAGCTAGGATACACGGACGACCAAAGACTTACGGTTGAGAAGCCTGAAATTCCCACACTAAAAATGATTTTCTTTGCTTAAGAGTTAGTGACTTAATAATAACTTTACAATCTAAAGTGTGATCAATATTTGTCTTTCATCATTAAAATTTGGCAATGTATGCATATTTGTTTTCTGGTCACTTAGAACATTTTGCGACCAATATTTGTTTGCACATACATCTGATTCTTGAACAGTTCAGCTAAGTTTTTGGTTCTACCAAATGCCAGATTTTTCACGAACGAATTTCAATGTTTTATATAAATACCAAAAAGAGCCTTTGACTGAAAAGGACTGGTTTTACTTTCTCTGAGAAACCTGCGTTGGTAAACATGATAACCAAACAGGTTATGATAGTTTTGTCAGATTAAATTATTTAATTTATTAAAAAATGCACAACGACAGAACGAGTGGCCAGGAAGTAGGGCTCTTACTGCTATAGAGAGGAGATAGATCTGTCCCTGTTTAGGGTCTGAAAACCAACCGTGTAAAGTGGCATTCATCCTGATTGCTTTGATGTAATCACCAGAACTTAATGGAGACTCAAGAAGACGTAGAAAAAAAATAAAAGCACCCACTGACTGACTTGGTACTCTCATTATCAAAACGAATAGTGTACCTGATTTATTTTAAGAATTAGAATATTACTAGATTATATTATCTGGGACCTAAAAGTACACATATGTATCCTGTCAGCAGGCTACAACTTGGTTAGCACACTCGCTCCAATCACTTCTTCCTGATCTGCTGATCTTACAAATATTGCCCACCAAGTACCAACATCAGACAGATTTACCTGTGCTAGTTTTACCTTCAACATCAGAATAACCTAAAGCTATAGAAGAATGAGGGTTATTTTGTATCCGTTTCTTTGGCGAAACCATTTGTCCAAACAATACAATACCAAAAGCTCTAACAACTGCTGGCATATGACCTAATAATCCTGCTTGCAACGTTAAGCAACTGATTGACATTCGTGACCATTTCTAAAAAATATTTCGAGCAATGGGAGGACAGAGCGGAACGCAACGTACGTTCTGTCAGAGAGGCGGCAAAGGTGCGGTGTCAGTTTCTCGATGGAGAAATCCACGTCCACTGATGGCTCCCCAACTTCGATGTTAGTGTACCTAAACCAAGACAAAAAAAAAAAGGAAAACAAAAAGATTGATCAATTCTTTGGAATCCAAAGAAAATCAAATTTGAAGGGTTTGAGACGACAGTTGCCTAAGATAGAAGGTGGGATCGTGGCGGCAGACGAGGAGATCGTTGGCTTTCATGATCTTTTTGATATCATGGTTGATGAAGTAATTAAAAGAATCAATGTGCTGCTTCACCAGTCCTCTCACCTGCATCCAAAACCCATCCACCACCACCAGATCCTTTCAAGAACCCCGCGACGAAAAAGAACCAAAAGAATCCAAGAACAAATCGAGATTGCAAGAGGATTTCGCACCCGCAAGAAGGCGGGGAGGAGCTGGAACTTATCGACGGCGGATTTGACGGGCGCGGCGAGCGACTTGGTGGACGCGACCGCGCTGCCAAAGGAGAAATAACGGTTTCATCAGATCGAACAAGTGACCGTTGTCTTCTTTCTCACGGAAAGGGATCGAAATCGAACGTACTCATCTGGTAAAACGCCCATCGGAGGCGACGGATTCGCCCTCTCGTCGAATGCACGCGCTATGTCGATCGGAGGGGAAGATGAAGGCAAAGGTCGGGCCGGTGCGGTGCGTGATACTTATATACTAGAGCGAGAAGGATCCGCGTCAAGAATTGTGCGGGCGGGATCAGACGACGAACGCAGCGGATAGAAGAAGCCTCGTGCGAAGAATGGAACGGAAACGGAAGCGAGAGGTCGGTTCGTAAACCCTACTATAAACCACGGCTTCGTCTGAGGCGATCGGCGGACCGGACCGGTGGAGATGGAGCCCGAACCGTTTAATTTGAGGCCCGGCCCAAAAGAACATTCATATTGAGCAAATAAACTTCAAACAAAAACAAGAGATGATAAGTTAACTCTTCCAAAGATTATGATATGCCCCCTCAAGATTCTAAGAAAGGAAGAACAAGGGCAGATTAAAATAATACATTATTTTTTTTTTGTTAATTAATTTGTTCTATACTTAAATGATACCGGGGAGGGTAAAAAATGCAGAATGGATTTTGAAAGAATACCAATAGAATAGTTGTACAGATAGAAAATATCACAGAAGGCAATGAACGAACTCTTGAAGAAACTTCGGTAAAACGAAAAATAGCTCACCACCAAGTTTAAAATCAAAAGGGATACAGAAAGATCACCACCCTAATGACAATAAACAAAGATACATAACTGAAAGCAAAAGACTCACCACTCAAGGACACATCCAAGAGATACAGAGTTCAAAAGAGCACTCCAAGAGAGCTTCTGTCAATATCCTCAGTTTTTTAAAGTCTTTTCTAAGCCCTAAACTCCAAAATAAATACTAGTGCATGAAACAACCCTTCATGTATAGGAAATTTCGAAATTAAGTGCTTTACAGCTGCCAACCAACTCCATTAATGTATTCCTTTGTGCAGGGAATATGCTGATGAGCTGTCTTATCTGAGTAGGCTGAGTTGAAGATTATGTAGCAATATTGTTGGCTGAAAAAAATATCATATTATCAGTATGGTCCATATGAACAGATTGTAGTAAATTAAATACTCCAGTGTCATTAAATGTACCAAAATAATTTTCTAAATTTTATTTTGGCATTAGTTGAGCCATCAAATCCTGGTAGGGTTGGTTATATGGAAGACAAAAGGATAAATATTATTTATATTTTTATCTATTATTAGATTTCTAATAATTAAGATTAACTTAAGGAGGTTCCGAACTCGAATCCCGTTTTATATTATTATTATAAGAAAGAAAGAAAGAAAGAAAGAAAGAAGATAAATCTAAGATAAATGGAGACTATGTATGGGCTATGTCACAACAAATAACAATCGTCGCAATATTTCTTAATAAGTTTGATATCGAGAATGGAGGGTGGGATTGAGTTGAATGAGAGATCATCTATTGATTCCTACAAAACAGAATATCCATTATGCTGCCGCATCACATAATTAATTCATCGGACATGAATGGATCTTTGTGTCCGGGAAAAGGAGCCAACAACACATTGCTCCCTTCTCCTCTTGTCACGTCTCCTGCCGCCGATTTCTATAGTCGCATCCGACACGCAGGACCCAAACAGTGCAGAAGAGAAGTTGATGTGGTTGTCGTTGGGAATATTCGTCTTGCCTTTTGGCAACGTTGCGGCTCTTCTCGCAGATCCAATAGACTCGAATACAATATAAGTACGATGATGTGGCGTTGACGCAGTGCTCGTGTCATCGTCTCGGCGGATGACATGAGGTTTACTGAGGTTTTACAGCGGTGAACTCCACCTCTCGGCTCGACTCGCGGAGGGCAGTCACACTCGAAGATCGCGGGCATGCGGTGATTGGAGAGCTACAAACTTACGGAGAAGGACCCTGATGCCTCCGCTGCCCACAAAGTAGCAGAGCATGTCTCCGTCCGAAATCATGTGGTCCATCGCCACAAGATATTGTGCTTGTGGCCGTGAAGGGTTGGAAGTTCCTTTCGTGAGTCGGTCAAAGATGGGTGGGATTGGAAGAAGATGGCGCTCTTATCCACTCTAATACGCAAATCAGTGAATGATTTGAGACGTGAAAGAAAATGTTGATGATTTCTTGACTGGTAATTGTCACAGAAACATGTAGAGATAAAGCTTGTGTGTGTGGTGTGGTCTCCTCGTGCTCTTAGCGATTCTTTGATGAACGTGGAGGTTCGTCAGCCGCCAGTTCGCAGGTACGTGGAGCTCACGTGCATGGCGTCGGCCACCACACGACACGAAGGTGGGAGAGGCAAAGAACAGTGCAAGGATGGAAGGCAGCCGGTGATCTTGAAATCTCACCGTATATATACTGAGAACAATGGAGACTGCTCGGTCTCACCACCACCACAACTCTCCTCGAATAGTTACAGGACTCGGAGGAGGAGAAAACTATAGTAAGCAGATGAGAGACGAGCAAAAAAGATCAACTTGGTGAGGTATTCCCGGATCAGACACAGTAATCGAAGGTGCTTCCACCATGTTTTCCTTGATCATGTTGATTGCTAAATGCTCCTTATCTACTGGTTTTGTTCCGTTTCTTCCGATTGCATCTCTAGCTTTATAAGATTTTGGTGTACCTTGGAAATGGATTTTAGTTCCATGGCTAATTGTTAGCCGCAAAACACAACATTTGTGTGAGATTTCGAATTGTAGCACCAGGTGTTTGTGTTTATTTCTGTGACGTGATCTGCTCGGCTTTATATCGAGAAACAATACAAAGCCTTAGAATTCTGCTTACGCTGGTGGATTTACAAGGTTGCTTTTTTGTCTGGATTTTAATGTGCTAATATGCACTACAAGTTCGAGTAGTCTTTCTCTTCCAATTCTTTTGCCTTAGGCAAGGTGTGGTTCTGGTACAGGGAGCTATGGGAGACTAGAGAATCCATATCTCCAGTTCGAAGTCGAAGGCCTTCAGAGCTTGACAAGAGAGATATCGACAACAGCCGGCAATGCCAGTCCCTCTTGCTCCATACCCGACACCTCCACTTCCATTAGCTCTACCGAATAGTATCTTCTGCCTCAATTTTCTTTTGAGTGTGATAGATGTATATGTCACAAAGAAGATAAATGAAATATGTTATGCCAAGTAGGGCAATAAACTCTTAGTAAAAGAAGAAAATGAAGTTCATAACAATATCATGTCTCCTACGGTAGAGGATAATACAACAACAAAATCGTAAATTCCAACTAACCGTAGAAGATAATGCTTGCTGAAAATTTTAATAGGCCCTGAATTTAGTATAAGAACAAGAGTGACTAAGATATCAGAACTGAATAAATACTTCACCTTTTTCTCTGGCTTAATCTGAAAGTACTGCTTGCAACAAAAGATTAGAGCTCTGTTTTATTAGTATTGCCTCTATCATGGCAGCTGATTTGTTTGATCAGATAACACTCCTAAGCTCTGATGTTGTTAAATTAGCATAAAACTATCCTAGCAATAATGGAATCTGAAATCTGGAGATAATGTCTCAGCTAGTGCTATATTTGCTATCCATGTTTCATTGTATTATTAGATTATGAAGTTGTTACATTTGAAATATTGATGTCGATTAATTTCATATGCAGGTGGGCAGAGCCAAGTTGTCTGTTGTGGGTGTAGAAATCTCCTCATCTATCCAGGTGGGGCAACATCAGTATGCTGTGCCGTCTGCAGTGCAGTGACCACTGTACCTCCACCTGGTAATATTTTCTTTTCCCCGTAAGTTTGCAACTCGATTTGTTATTATCGAGTTCCTCTTGCGTTCTGATATCAATTTGGAATTTACTTTGTCAGGTTTTCTTGAGTTTTCTGCAGGAACAGAAATGGCACAGTTAATTTGTGGAAGCTGCCACACACTGTTGATGTATGTTCGTGGAGCGAGTAGGGTTCAGTGTTCTTGCTGTCACACAGTCAATCTGGCTCCAGAAGGTAAGCAGGTTTTTGTGACAAAAAAAGTTCTACTTTAATGAATTTAAATTGCTATTAATGGAAGGCTATTGATTCATGAAGATGCTAAATACCAATATCTTTTTTTTTGGTTTTTGCTACTTCTGAGGTGGTTGAACTTGTTCTTTCATATGTTACATTGGTTGGTGTCAACTGGATGCTATCACTGGTTCAAGTCTTTACCAACTAAATTTGCATTTAGACACTTGGTTGCTCTTGAACCATAATATATTTTTTTAATTTTTTTGTAGTGATATCAAATTTCCTTCACATAATTAGAGCCTTCTTTCGACTGAATTTTTTACTTGGACATCAAGTGTTTGCTCTACATTACCGAGAAGTTTCTCTTTAAACTACAGCAAGTGAAACACTATGGTAACATATAACCTAACCTAACCTACATTTAGACATTATATTCACTTAAACATCATGCTGATACTCTTGCTTCATATTTGTAGCTCCATCAACTTCTACTTTGTGTACCAAATCTGATTGCATATCTCTGATTTTTCAGAGAAACTTCTTACAATCTGACAAATAAATGGCTTAAATTTTATAATCTTCGACAAGAAAACTCAGTATGAATTTGTAAGATGAGATTGCTCTTTTCATCGACATTGATGGAATCCTTACGAAGACACTTGCTGTGCCTGAAACTCAGTGTAGAAGTAGCTGAAACACTCTAGTTTCTTAACAATAACAGTGTTCCTAATCAAACTAGCATTGAAACTTCTCAAGCCATTCTTCAAGTTTCAACGCTGTGATTAGTGTCTAGGAATCAATGTAGACAATTTATTAAGCAGATCACAAACATAAGAGCATCTTGAGCTCTTTTTTGTTACCAATGTATTCTCATTGTTGACACATTTGTGTTGCAGCAAACCAGGTTGCACATGTCAATTGCGGAAACTGCCATATGCTGCTGATGTATCAATATGGAGCAAGATCAGTGAAGTGCGCAGTTTGCAGCTTTGTCACCTCAGTTGGGGTCAGTATCAATCATTTCCAGTGATTATTGGATGATTGAACATGTTAAATAGAATGCCATCATGTTTAACATTGTCAATGCAATACACACAATGCTAAAAACCTAAATACTGATTCACATGCCTCATTGATGAAGTTGTCCTCAACATTTTCCATGTCACAGGCTTCGCCAAGCACTGAGCAGAAGCCTGGCAACTGAAACCTTGGAATCCGGTGAATTGGCTGCCTATGACTTGAACGAACTTCCATCAGCTTAAGAGAGTCTCACAGTTAATGTATAGAGCTTCTTCCCAATGTCAGTCTCCAGAACTAGCAGTTTTGGCATGTTTATTGAGTTTTTGGAACTTAAGGGTTGGATGGCTGATGATGTTGTCTTCTATCTTTGTGCCATGGCATGATAACTTGCATCTTTGTCTCCAGACGTCATTGGTTTCTGAAAGGTTAATTTTTGAATGCCATGCAGATCTCTCTCTCTCTCTCTCATAATTGTGGTTTGATTCCTATGGGGATTGTCTTTGTACTCCTAATTCTAGGCTAGCATACGCCATCTTAATTGGGCGAAATGGAATTCCCCATAATTAGTTTTGGACTCATTAAATTTCTGAACGTGGATTATGAGAGGATGTCCGAGGGAAATGAGAATAATAAAATTAAAAATAAATTTATGGTCACCACCACAATACCTCATCTTCAAAATAAAAAGGAAAACTCCAAGAGACCTATAGAGTCTCAAATCTCAGGACTCGATCTATCATAAATAAAATCGTAAATAATAGGTTCGATGTAATGCTTGTGTGTGTTTATGTTTTCGATTTTATTTATGCTTTATACCACAAGTAAAGGGCTTGTCAACCCTATTTTGGTTGGCTTCTATGGTTATTTCAGACTTTTAAATATAAATTATTTACGGTCATCGTACGGAAAAGAAATTGCCTAGAAACAAGCTATCTGGACAATCATTTTGAGGGTTTTTTAGCTCCACAGAGTGATGTAAAGTGTCGGTCAGTATAGCATCTAAGAGCTACTTGAGTGACAAATGGCTTGATGGGCTTTTGGGATAGTGCTTAGGGTTGGTCTGCTTTCTTATTCCATAGTAGTATCATGTGGGTACTTGTGGAGACTTTCGGCTATGACAGATCATTTTGGGCCCTTTGTCATATAACCGTTCAGAACTTGTGAAGTTCATGTTTGTAATTTGTATTGTATATCAAGTGATTATTAAAATAGCTGCTTGTGAAATCCTGAGCTAAATGCTTCCTCTAACTCATCTTCTCTTTTATAAGTCTTTAAGAGACTATAAGAAGTCTCAGGGTGACTAACCCTTTGTAGAGGAACACACAAAGGTGTTGCACTACCACATACAAAGTTATAAACAGAGTGTTCAATGTAAAGCTCGTGTATATCTGTGTCTTTCGGTTTTGTTCACACTTTGCACAACATGTAGAGGGCTTGCAGTAGGCTTGGTAGACCATTTTGGTTAGCTTTTGTAGTCATTTCAAGCTTGCAAATACAAGTTGTGTGCAATCATCGTATAGAGGCAAAATTGTCTAGAAACATACCATCCAAGCAGCTATTCTAGAGGTTTTCTAGCCCTGTAGAGTGGTGCAGAGTATAAGCCAATATAGCACCTAAGAGATACCATGGTAGAACATAGCTGGATGGGTCTTTGGGATAGTATCTAGAGCTAGTTTGCTATCTTATTATGTAGTAGGATCATGTGGACACTTGTGGGGGCTTTTGGCCATAATGAATCACTTGGGACTTTTTGTCGCACGATCGTTCAAAGTTTACAATATCTATGTTTGTAATTTGTATTAACTATCAAGTGTTTGTTGAAATGGTTACTTATTGGATCATGTGTTAAATATTTCCTCTAACTTATCTTCTCTTTTGTAAGTCCTTAAGGGACCATAAGAGGTTTCAGAGAGGCTGACCTTTTATAGATGGACACACAAGGGTGTCGCATGACTTAGGCAAAATTAGCTGTGCTTGTGACAGATGGTACCAAAGCAGGATAAGCACACTTAAAAACACATGACATGGAAATGTAGGAGACCTAATAGGGCTACATTGTGGGCATTCAACACAAATGATTGTTTGAAGAAAACGGGCGTTGAGATGTAGGGAAAGGAGTTACTTAGAGGAAAGGGCATCCAAGATCTGCATTCAAAGGAATTGCCAACCCTTCATACGAGAGACACTACGAGGCAAGCGAACTGTGAAGAACGTGTAATGCACAAAGGTTAGAATGGCTGAGTTCGACCTATGGCTCAACGTTGGCAACTAAATTTGATGGTGCTCAAGGCAAGTAGAGCACTTGGTAAAGGAAGAGATTGTGAAAGGAGGGATGGGTTGCTCGGCGACCAAAAGAGTTGTGCAAAGCTTACACAAGTAAGGGAATTGCTAACTCAAAGAATTCGGTATTCATACAAGAGCTTATATGTGGACAATAGAATGTTTGTAACCATCCCAAGATAACTAAAACTCAGTGCTATGGAATATTAAAACTTTCTCTTATGTATGGGAAGGATACGTCCGTAGAAAACCGAAGTGTGCAATAAGTTCAGCATGTTGTTAATGCTAGTCACAGGTGCCCTACAAACCAATCACGTGAGTGATGATACGAGTGACTTAACATGCAGTCTTTTTGCTTATTATTATTATTTGATATTTTATCACTTTATTGCCTATTGATTGAATATATTATGCAATGAGAATCGGATCATGATGAGATCACGATAATGAGATTGATTCGCCTTTAAACACATATCCTAAATAATCTCGGTCATATATTACTCAAGAGGGACATCGAGATAACCGGATAGACTGGTGTGCTATGTTGAATCTCAGATTTTGATGATGAAACCAATTGATAAGTATTTATGATTTAACCTACGTTTTGAGTGACGCAAGATGCTTCGATTAGGGAGAGACAATTAACGCAGGAAAAATCATGTTGGACTGGAGGATCGGTCGACGTATCGACAGAAGGCTTAGGGCCATGGATTTGGGCATCGGGCCAAGAAGAGCAGATATTACGCTAAGGATATCGGAGTTGCGGAGATTAATTGGCCAATTGGGCAATAGGCCGCAAGATCGGACGATGCGCCGAAGAATCGGATGAAGCGTCGATGGACCAATGATATGTCAGACAACTTGATTTATGCTTAGTAATAATTGTCTAGATCGAAGTGTGTTTTTGTGTGTGTAGGATTAACTATGATAGCAAGGCATAAAGCAAAATGAAGTCCCAGAGTCAAGAACGCGATTTCGTTTGGAGTTCGAGAGTTCGTTGGAAGTCCGGACGTTCGTTGGAAGTTCTGTCGGAACCAACCGAGAAGTCTAGGAGCTTACCAAAGAAGCTCGTCGGAACTCGCCAAGAAGATCGTTGTGAAGTCCAGGAGCTTACAGGGAAACCGCCACCGAGAGATCGTCGGAAGTTGTCGGAAGATCGCCGGAAGAAATCAGACTTATCTTACTTAGATTATGTCTTAGGAATCATAGTTAGCACATAATTGGAGTTGGGATTGGAAGGTAATCTCATTAACTCTGTTAGGGGCCAATTGAGCCTAAAGTTGGGCTGGTTTGGGCCGGATTCAAGGCCCAACCAGGGTGTTGAAACCCTGGCCAGTGATGGCATCACCTAGGGAATAGCACCCCAGGTATTCTGGGCGGTGGTACCGTCGGCAATAATGCTGCCAGCGGTGGTGCCGCCTAGTGGCAGATCTTGCGGTGGTAGTACCGCCCAAGAACGGTGGTGGTACCGCCAATACCCAGGAAACTTGGGATGAGACCTTTTTAGGCTTCAAGTTTAAAATCAACTTAAAGCTTATAAATATCCCTCTCATTCCTGGTTAATTAACACACAACTAAGAGCAAAATAAGAAAGAAAACTATGTTGCAATTGTGTGTGAAACTCCTCTCAAAGTTCTAAGTGTTAGAATAGTTTGAGAGAGGAGTAAGTGGGGGTGTAAGGGTTATCTCATAATCCCGGTAAAAGGAGAATCGAGTTGTAAAATGTGGTTGGTCTTCGCCTACCTTCGCCTATTGAAGGAAGACCGATAGTGGATGCCGGTAGCCTCGACATAAGAGGAATCGGTGGAGTGGATATAGGTCACGACGACCGAACCACTATAAAACTCGATTTGCATTTGTATTTGAGCAATTTATCTTTACTATAAACTTTACTTACTGCTTCCAATACATTTATGAATGTGTTTCAAGTTAAAATCTTTACGAAACGGTTTTCGTTGGAATAAATTTTAACGTACGAAGATTTTTGAACCAACGTAATTTTTACCGCTACACTAATTCACACCCCCTCCCCCCCCCTCTTAGTGCTGACTCGTTCCTAACAGTTGGCATCAGAGTCTCGTATTTCTTATTTGGTTTAACACCGAAGAGAAATAGCTCTTTGCGGCTTTCAAGAGGGTCACTCTCTCATTCGTCCTCCCTTTTTCAATGGGATGGACTACACATATTGGAAAACTCGAATGAGAGTTTTCTTGCTTTCTTTAGATTTGAACTTATGGAACATTATTGAAAATGGTTTTCAAATATCTTCTCTTCCAATGAACCATTGGAATGATTTGGAGAAGAAGACATTTTCTTTAAATACTAGAGATATGAATGCTCTATTTTGTGTCTTAGACAAAAACGAGTTTAATCGGGTTTATACTTATGAAACGACTTTCGATATATGACACACTCTCGAAATCACACACGAAGGCACTAGTAGAGTAAAAGATTCTAAAATAAATCTTTTAATGCACGATTTTGAACTATTTCGAATGAAGCTGAGTGAAACCATTGGAGATATGTACACCCGTTTTATGGATGCCATCAATGGTTTAAAAGCTCTTGGCAAATGCTTTTCTAATGTTGAACTCGTTAACAAGATTTTACGATCGCTTTCTAAGAATTGGGATTCAAAAATAATGACTATACAAGAATAAAAAAATTTGAATACTTTTTTTTATCGAAAAACTTATCAGGTTTCTAATGACCTATGAAATGACGTGCAATGCACGTAAGGAACTTGAGGACCATTTTCCAAAGGACATGAAGGATTTCAGACTAAGAATAATCGAAGACCACTCGAGCATAAGCTCAAGTGATGGTGAACTTGAACTCCTCATGAAATTTTTAAAACAAGAATCAAAAATTAAAAATGAACTTAAAAAAAAGAAGAAAGCAACTTTGGACGAATCAAGCTCATCCGAAGACGAGGAGAAAAATAAAGGTGAGGTGGCAAACTACGCCTTAACGACTTTCTACAATGAGGTAAACAACTCAAATAAACCTCCTTTAATTTATTTTGAAATTACATAATACTTTTCATGAGTTATTTTTAATTTAGTTTAATTATTTTTCTTGAAATTTGCATGTTTAATGATGTAATGAAAATGTCAAAAAAAAAATAGGGATCATGCTAAGTAATTTTGAAAATGATTATGTT